CGTTTTGAAGCAATTTCCCCCTACTGAACCCATGGTTGTTGCCAGGCACGTTGCGGGTGCATTCGCCTCAAGGATGCTTAAACATAAATGGGACTCGTCTATATCGGACTTGTGCCCCCTTTGCGACGACAAGGACACCAAGGAGCATCGGGCGCTTAGGTGCCCGCGCACTTGACATGGCAGGGACAGGTGGCGACCGTATGTTCATCAAGCAGTGCGGGCTTTTCCCCATTGGGCGCAGGGCCTTTTTGCAACAGTCCCGGAAGACGTGGACATGATATCCGTTCCACGCGACCCCTGCCAGTTTTTGATAATGAGGCGGCAGTAGCCATTGCAAATGAGCTTGTACACTGGTGGTTGCTGTGAACCCCAGTAGCCGCCACGGCAGGCATGCCTCCTGGTCAGTCATACTGGGTGAGACCGCCACCGATGCAGAAGTCCCCAGCTACCTGTCCAGGTGGAGGGCGACTGGCCAACGTGGCACAAGGCACCGTTCCCCGTGCACAATCCAGCAATAGAGCAGAGTCGGGCGTTGTACTCGCTGCTGCACAGTTTGTGCAGCGTACAAGACAGGAGGCAGCTGAAGTGCTGGGTGACTCCACGTCGGCTATATCAGAGCACAGTCGTGTTCTCCGAGAGGAGTGCCCGCGGTACCCTGACATGGCCGACGCAATGGCACAGGCCGATGCGCAAAGGTTGAAAATGCAGAAGGTTAAAGCGCACCAGCAACTACAAAACTTGTGGGGCCTCCCAATCTGGCATGCGCTAGGGAATGACTGTGCTGACCTGGCAGCCCGCAACGCCAGGAAGCGCGATTATCAACGCCTGTTTGATACACTTGACCAAGCCGCAGAGTGCGAGCAGGAGCAACGCGACCTCCTACTGGTTTTCCACCGCTACCTCATGGAGCTCTCGCAGGAGGAGTGGAAGCTCAAAAAACAGGCCCTTCGCGCGTTGCCGAAGCGGAAATCGAAGCACCACCGCAACCCGTGCAAATGCAACATGCAAGGCAAATTGCATGGCCAGCGCTTGAACCACCTCAGGCACTTGCCTGGCCCATACATGCTATCCAAACAAACTGTGAATGGCAGTCACTCGGAGACCCTCTTGTGTGAATAATGGGGATGGCTTCAGAATCTTCAGTCGCCCTCGCCTACTCAAACTTCTCACAGTATTACTGGGCTTGACTTCTTGGCCGATTTTGTTGCGCATACAGTGACAATGCCACCGGTTTGCACGCTCGCCTCAGGCCAGGCCCATGTACAACCGAGTAGAGGCGGCTTAACACCCGCGGCCTCACTGCCTGCATCCGTCAGCTTGAGAGGGTAACCTGGGTTCCTTTGCTGCCCAAAAGACGCCTTAAGGTTTGGTCGTTAAAGAGCCTTGTTGCACTACACAACAGTACCGCAGCGGTATCCAGGTCCGCCCCGCTTGACCTCAACTTTGCCCACGGGCGAACTACTCGACCAGCTCTTGCATGAGGGTGGAGTGCAGCCCCTCCTGAGGTACGCAAGCAGTCGGAATCCATTGTACAGCACAGATCAATGGGTAGAGGATTCCTACAACAGTTTTACACCCTCAACGAGGGCGGCCCTAGCCAAATGGCTTCGTCGGGTCCAGAGGCAATGACTTGCCATCGTATCGAGGCCTGCTCACGCTACGGCTGGGGCAACGCCCATGGTCATTGCATGTTCCACTCCCTAACCGTAGGCTTGAGGTGTACCGCAGTAGACCGTACAGCACCCCGGAAAAGTGTGAGGCTCCAGCATTCAGGTTGAGCTGTGGCAGAGTCAAATTAAGAGGACCGTAAAGCTCAGGCCAAAACTTTCAAGACTACGTCGGATATTACATTTCGTACCAGACTTGAAGCACCCGGATTTCTGAAGTTCGGATGTTCTGGGGTTGTGAAATGGATTGATTTGGCTGAGAAGGCTGATTGGGTGAATGGGCGCGCTGTCATTGAAATGACTGGCCGGCTCATCTTTGTCGCACGGATCCTGTAAGCATCTGTGTCAAAGGAGCAAAGGCCGGAAGAAAAGGTGCAATGGTGATCCTTTTCCATATTTGTTTTCGCCGCGCCACATGCGTGCAGTGGGTCGGAAACGCGTGGTACACCGGCAGCTAATAGGATGCACTCAAGATCTGTGCTGACAACCCTTGGGAAGGTTTCGTCTACTCTGCATTGGCTGCGCATTCAGTCGTGTGACGGATTCATGTCTTGAATGGAAAGTTTATTTAAGTTTATTTGAGCGTTTTGAGATGATTTTTTCTACATTGGTATGGATGTTCCGGTTGAAGCTTTCTTAATGATCACGTTTGCTGGCTCAATCTGTTCTGACAACAAAAATGCTCCAGCGGATTCAAAGACTTCCAGCGCTTTTTGAATTTTCGGTTCAAGCCCACGCCTCCACCCGCTTTCGCGTCCGTTTGTTCCAAAGGCCAGGGCCTTAGATATTTCTATTGATGTTCATATCGTGTGGTTGCCAAATAGCACAAGCCGCGGGCCAAAGGACAATGTGGTCTGTTCTGCCAAAGTTGTTCAGGCCGTTCGGGCTGCAATCTAGGAAGTGTTGCTTGGATAGTCAATGCACTTGCAAGCTTGCATGCAAATTTTGTGCAACCCGTCAGGCAAGCCAACATCCGTGTAGATGAGCGCGAAGAGGATGGAAGGGTCTTCAAGACTGCGTCAGGTTGTTCGGCAAAACAGTCCAACAAAGGCAGCATAGCAAACAGGTAGGATTTGGCTAGGTTTTGACCTTTTGCCGCAAGGTATTTTAATTTTTGTATTGCTTGCAATTTGAGCATGCTTGAACGCCATATTCGAGGTCAAATAACCTTTTGCTTGGCCAAGCATTACGTCTGACAAGTATGTGACATGCGACGCCAGGCGGTAACCGCTGAAGCTGACACTTGCATGGTCCCTGATGATAGCCGACCAGGTGGGCACTGCAATGGTTTTTGTGCAATTGATGCTTCAGCCTTCGTTTTGGTAGTTCAGCATTCACTGGCAAATGATGCTCGCAGTGTTTCCACTGGCAAATGATGCTCGCGGTGTTTCCACCTAATTGAAATGCAAAGAGGAAAAATGGTGAAGTGAATGTTACGCAGGAACAAACCTTCATAGATCTACTGGCGTATCGGGGCATTCTCGGTGTGCTTCCTGCACGGGGAACATCATCCGGCTACGAATGCGCAATCAAAACATGGGATTTGATCCAGATTGTACCCCTGAGCTTAATGTGCTCCATTTGAGCTTTTGTGTAAACTCCTCCCAGGGGGTTATGTAGGGGATTTTATAGTGGACTGCTATAGGGGGTACTAAAGGGGATATTAGGAGTTTAGACAAAAGCTCATTTGAGGGTGGAGCTACAGTATCACCACGCATCTTATGCCGGCCAAGTGCAGTTGTGCTTCTGTCAACTCATCAGTTTGACATGGGAAGCCATAAGCCGTAATGCCAGAAAACAAATCGTAATTTGACAGGCAAACCGACCCAAATTTCCAACCCTGGCAGCCCCTTATACTTACACGTGAGGACCTTCTGTTCTCTAAGTCAAATGACCGTCAATCCTTGCCGTGAGTTTCGCGCTTTTGTTGCTGCTGCTGCTGCTGCTACTGCTGCTGTCCTTCTGCACTACAGACATGGCTTCAAACTCGCAAGGGTGAGGAAGATAGACTTGACAAATGTGATTTTCATATTTTGGCAACACAAGAGACAGAGGGGGTCAATAATGTGGAGCCTGTGAGTGCCCTCGAACTTGCAAGCAGGGAGCCGACGGGCAGAAAAGAAGTTGGCAGACATGGATTTGATAGGTTTTTACAGGATTGACGTCAAATTGAACAAATATAGCTACTGTCGTGGTGCTTGAGGCATGCAGCATATGGAAACTAAAACGGTTGCAATTGCCAAGGCTTGGGGACGTCATCCCGACATTCTGCTTGGGTACCTCTTTAGGTCACGGTCCCGCTTGGAACCGCCCTTCCCAAGTTCTTGGGGAGTCATCGCATCTTGTCATATAAGAAATACATATCATCACCCACACCCTAACGTAGAGACACCATGTGACCACAGGATGAAATGTGGGAATCATCAGCTGTGGGCGAACGGGAAGCATGTATATTTACATGGCAGGGGCCCGATCTTGCAACTACGATTCAAGGTAGTGCCGACAGCTTGCTCTATTTGCCACGTGTGCCCGCATGCATGCACGCATGCAGTGCAATGTGATGGGTCCGAGAGTTGCGATCCCATGTAATCAGGCTGTGGTGGTGGCGGCGGTAGTGGTGGTAGCAAATGGCGGGGAACCAACAAATATATCTCTTGTAATCGCAATGCGAGATTGATGTGAACTTACGTGCGCCAGTTGAAATGATGTGAATAAGAATTATGCATCGATTTGCACCGCATGGTGGTTGGACCTGCTGAGCCAAACTCATGTGGTGAGGCACGGCAGAGGTGGCAGGATTTCAGAGCCTTGGACCGCAGACCGGCCCTGATACCAAGCAATGCTGGCTGACGTTTCCAGAATTCCAGTGGCCGGAATGGATGCCATGGTCCCCGGCTGCCTGCGGTCATTACGAATGTTGGTGGGTCCTCGTGTGGGGCGCCTTATCCATCGTGGGCAAGGTTTTAAGCTTGTAAACGAGCTCTTGACCCCTAGTTCTGCACTGTAAGCATAGCAGACTTGCATATTTGGGGGTGTACGGCATGCAACGTAACATGAGTCCAACTTTGACACATAATCACATGAAGCTCTTTGGGGAGCTCTATGAAAGCTATCAGGAAAACCGCAACACCCGCAGAAAAGCTTCATCAAACTTGTTTAGGCCCCACATCTAAAAGGCTCCCTTCGAGGTTTACACTAATGGCACGCCTCATGCAATATGCCGCCAAAGTTGGATAGAACTGCAAAATGCATCCCATGAAGAGCAGGCAAACCATGCGACTGACCAACTTTCCGTATTGCAGCTTGCAGTGTCCATGTCTTGCACACTGGCAGGAACTCCGGAACCGGTGGTGCCGCCAGACACAGATGAAGAGGCCACATTTGCCATAGCTCAAGCTTAGGTGGCAGTTGCGATGGAGCGCCTGTTTTTTGATCTCAGCTTTCAATCAGTATTTCTGCCCCCTCTGCCGCTGGCTCTTCTTGTCTTTTCTATTTTCATTTTTACATTTTATTTCTCTATCTCTCTCTCTTTCTGTCCGTTCCCCTTTTCTGTGTTGCCGTGGTATGTTGGTGCACTCTTACTTCAGAACCTGCGGTTTTGGCCGTGGCATCCCGTACAGACGCTGCTGTCGATGTCGTTGTTTGCAATTTAATCTTTGATTGTTCAAGCAATTGCAGCATGTGGGGTGTGGAGAGGCAGCTGGCCTCTCCCGGGCTGTCAACGAGCCAACTTCCCATCCACCAGGCAGGGCAGAGCAAGATCATACATGGACGTGGCGAATTAAGCCCAAAGCCTTGTACAGATTAAAGGCTGAAAGCCTTCTGAAATTATCATTTTGCAAATGAGGACAGCAAATGCAAGCATGAGCATGCGAGGTTCTCCGCCAGACTCGAGCAGGACGCCGGGTAAGTGTTTATAGTGGTGTTGCAGGGAAAGGGACATGAGAGGCAGCAGCAGACGTGTAGACATGGTCAGCTTTTGTCTTCACGGCTTCGTTTGTGATCTGCACTTTGATCCAGGTCTTTTCAACAGGCTTAAACTCTGAAGTGCTGACGGCCACCCCAAAGTAAGATCTCAGCCGTCAACTCTTTGGGACATGTTTTTATTGATGAAGATAATTGCTTGTAGTCCCTGGCGCGCAAAGCGTCAGGCGTGCATCTTCTGCAATACTTGCTGTGTCGCGTGAATTGCCAAGCATGCTTTGTGGGGAATTCCATTTCTTTGCAGTTCCTGCAATCAATGCTCCCAACCAAACTGCACCCTCTCGATTGGCCACTTGCGCCTCCTCACTTCTTCAAACACATGTCGAGGCATGACCACCTCTCATGCACCTTGACCCCCAAGTAACCAACCAGCATCGGGGTTCCTTTCTTCATGACGGAAACTTGAGACTGCGTCTTTGTTGCAGGATCTGTTCCCCAACGCTATGGAGAGCTCAAGACATGTCAGGCATGAAGACTCATGAAAGATCAGGCTGCGTCCTCCTGGCGAATCCGCGGTATAATGAGCAGGAGAGGGTCAAGAGCATCCTTGACATGGAGTCAGATATGTGGGAGGGTTTTCTTGCTGACAAAGTGTATGGTTGCGCCTCATACGACGTCAATGCCGTCGCAGATCCTGTGCCAGCTGGTCACAAGCCATGTGGTGATATAAGAGGGCAGGCAGCCATCATCGCATATGTTGACCAAGATGAACTGAAAGCCTTCATGTTCACTCGTTTGCCGGAGCTCGACAAGAGCAAGTACAAGCGGAAGTTCTATCGCTGTGCCTGTAAGGAATTGTACAAGGCACTGTTTCTACACATCCTTGGCAACAAACGCATCAAGGCTTTGACAATCACTGAGGAGCTGCAAGTAAGCATCTACTGGCCGGAGCGCGACCGGGAAATCCTTGAACAAGCCGGCTTTCCAAAAATGTCACGCGGTGTAGGGCAATTTGCTGAAGATCGACGGCAACTTCAAGAGCACAGGCGAATGGCCCAGGGAATGCGTAACAGATCACTGCCTACAAAATACATCAAGCTGATCCAGGACTGTCGTAGCAGGCATTGTCGCGGTCTTTCGTGAATCACTGCAACTAACAGAGAAAAATGATAGACTTAGAGAGCCATTCTCTTCGTCCGTGTTGGAGGTTTGCCGGAGTCTCTTTGCACATGTGCTGCTGAGGACGCTGAGGAGAAGAAGGGTAAGTTTGGGACATCCATCGCAGTGACCATCTGCGACGTGAGTGAGACAAATCACAAGGAAATGGTGGTTGCTCTTGCCGGTGCGGTCTCTCCGGATGGCAAGCGTCTTCTGGCACGTGATGTGCATAGTGGCAGGCTTCTCGATGCCAACCTAAACTTTGTGCGTCACTTTGAGAAGCAGAACAGGAAGACCAAGCTGTGGGTCCTAACAGCAGAGGCGGCGCTCAAGGACAAACATGGCTTGAAGGACCGACTTCTCGTTTCAGAGGAGAACACCAAGGATCCAAGCATGCTTCACGTCACCTACCCCATTTCCATCCAGTGTCCTTCTTCAGATGTTGTCAGGGCAACCAGCGAGAACATCAAACAGATCGCAAAAAGTTCTGCCGCGCTCCGTGCAGGAGGATGCAACGACGCGGGCTGGAATGGAGACTATCGAGTGTGGCCCAAAAATGTCGCAGACTGGCATCAGCAGCCTAGCTCAAGTTACTCCAAAGGACGTTAGTGTAGCAAGCAGATTGAAGGGTGTTTCGTTAATCGGTGTCCCAGGAGGCTTTGACAGCCAAGCCGCAAGAGCCGCTACAAAAAGCTACTAGGATATTCTCAATATGTGCCTCCGCACTGGCTTGCCCTTCCCCTCTGTATTCAGGCAGTGGTTCGGATCGTCGCAGGACGTCTACGGGAGCTGTGTAGGGATTTCGTAAACACCATCAGGACAAGAAAGAGTTGGTGCTTTGACACGTTTGTTTGCCTTTTCTGAACTCTGACATCTTGGCTGCAAGGCCACATAAGGGCATTTTGGCACAATTTTTGACGTAGCGCCCGGTGAACTTGCCTACACAAACCTTTTTGCACAAGATTCAACCTGGTTTGCGCTCCATGCTTCACTGCGAGCTGCAGCTTTTTTGCCCTGCAGCCTACTTTATTAAGCAAATCGTTTCTGGCGAAATGTGCAAGTTCTTGCTTGATGGGCTTGTTTCTCTGCCGTGCAAGTGCTCTTCTGGGCCGGCAGCATGAGCCTGAAGCTGACACTAGAGTCGAAAGTACCTGCGCATCGCAGCGTTTTGGATGGAATCCTGGGTGCCCATGCTCTCACAGGGACTTGGTCTGGTTTGGTGGGGATCTAACAATTACTGGTTTGGTCTAGCCTGCCCAGCCCATTGTTCCGGATCCTTGTTCCACTCTCTGGCTGTGCTCTTCGCGAACATTGAACTTGGATTTGTTGCCTGCCTCTTCACTTTTCGCAGCCTGATCCTTCGTCCTGTGGATTTGGACCCTGTCCCTGTGTCCGGGAAACCTACTCTTTAGTTCCCGAACCCCTCCTCAGGAGCACCACGGCCCGGGCTACTGCCTGGATCTTCGCCGGCCACTCAGGGCCTCCTCCCTTTCCGGCACCGAGCGCGCACGCAGAGCCTCTACAGCTGGGTGTTGGGCCAAGGCGGTTCTCGAAGGGAGGGTTTGTACTCCCGCTCCTGTGTCTGTGTTGGCTCTCAAGCCTGGTATTTACGTCGTGCTTCGGTCAGAGCATCTGCCTGGACCTTGCTACTTTAAGACCTACTCATCTTTCAAGCAAGGAGTCGGCAGGCTGGAGGGCAGCGACGCTCTCTGCCATTCCTTCCCCTCGCAAGCAGAAGCGAAGGTCTACTGCTACGCGGCAGGGCTCTTCCTTGACAGCTTGCAGGCCCAATGAGGCCAGAGGACCTCAAGATGGAGGAAGGGGGGGTTGGCCCCCCTTGTGTTCTGAAGTGGCCACTTGGGCCCGTGCCAGACAGCAGAAGGTGCCTTTGCATCCCTGTTTTCCGATGTGGGTGGGGCCGTCCTTCCGGCACTGCCTTCAGACTTTCAAGAAATCTTAAGTGAAGACCTGGCCTCGCCGGAGGCAAACAACATTCTTGCTCCTTTTCACTCCGCGGAGGGAAAGAGGGGGAGGAGCTGCCGGACCTCCCACACCTGTTCCCTGCGGCCGAGAGTACCGTGGATACTGCCCGTTGGCTGTCGAAGCAGGGGAGACGCTTGCTGTAATCACGTTCTCCCAAGGCAAAGCAGGTCACGACAGCGCAGCTTGCGGAGCAAGTAACAGCATTGGCACATCGTTGCCGGAGCTTGTAGACCAGGTCAAGGGCATAGCAAACAGGCAGGATCGACTGGAGTCCCAAGCCAAGGGTCCATCCGGGCAAAGCCACAGCACGTCTGGATCTCTTGGAGTCCAAGGCCTGGCTGCTGGCCTGCGCAGCTGAAGCGGTATGGGAGCAACTCCAACAATGCCCTCGTGCATGCAGTCTCCCAGCAGGGGGAAGCCCTCAGCCTACGTGTTTCCCACCTGGTCTCTCAAGCCTATTCTCTGGACTTGGGTGCGCCTTCCAGTGCCATAGGCTCCAAGAAGAACTCAAAGCGAGAGAAGCTGCCACCAGGTCTTCGAACTTTTTCCTCTCCTTGTGCCAGAACGCGCAAGTGCCTATTCCTCTGTGACCTACTTGGAGCGCCAGGGAGGCTACAACCAACAGAAGGAGCTGGGGCTGGTTCTTCCCCTGATTGCCTATGATGGCCACGGAGGAACAAATGGAACCTTGCTTTGAGGGAGGCCGTCGCGCCAGGGAAGCAGCAAAGGGAGGAGGCTGACAAAGCCGAAGCCAGACACCCAAGCGCCGCCCCGGTGTCCAAGAAAGCCGAAAGAGCACGGCCAGTGACCTCGCAGCATGGTCGTTCTCGTGTGCTTTTGCCTGTTTCTGCTCAGGAGAGGCCTTTGCGTGCCTCCCCTGCCTTGCCTCCGCCGAAGCTTCCATCCTCAAAGCATTGCGCGTTTTTGCCTGAAGCCGACAGCCTTTCGCCTAGGCCCTTCCCTCGGGATGCCCTTGCGGATAAGCCGTTGTCCTTTCGAGCCTGGTCCCTCAGGATGCATTTGAAAGTGTTGAGGGCCAGGACTCCTTTTGCGGTTTTCTTTCGAGTGCTTTGCATCTAGGCCGGCGCGGGAGCCCTTCCCAGCAAACGTCCTCTACCCGCTGCCTGTTCCCTTTCGTGGGATCTTCCAAGACTGCAGCCTGCTTTCTTCGAAGCGGAGGTCCGCTTCTTAGGTAGTGACCAAGGGTCTTGTTCCCTCGAACACAGGCCGTAAAATTAATGTGTTGCAGGCCCGCCTAAGCGAGCTGTCCTCTGCTCTAACCCGCCTGGGCCCTGTTGGCGACCCTTACTCTTGGGTCACCTGTGATGACATTGTCAATTGTTGCTCCTTCTACTCAGAATGAGGCTTTGCAGCCTTATGGGTCCCTCATAAGAGGGACGGGGTCTTGGGACCATGCCCCCTTCCTCAGTGACGAGCTGTGGCTTGCTTTCAAAGAGCCCGCTTTTTTCAGGCTTCCTCGCGTGCCTTCTCCTGCTGAGTTCCCAGACTGTTCCGTGAAAGCAGAGAAGAGACCTGGAAGCTGGCGTGCCTTTGGTCTGACCATCTGACCATGGACTTCTTCACCTCGAACCTGCTGCCCCCATTGCGGAAATGACTCGATTCCTAACAGACAAATCGGCGATCGCCGAGGCCCCAACACCACGGAAAAAAGGATGGCAGGACCGAGTCTCTACGTTGACCATCCCCTGAGAGAGGGGCTCGCCATCTGCGTGTATTTCCTGCCAAAGCTGTGAGGAGCTTAAGAACCGTTACCGTGCTAAGGGTCAGGGGCATAAATTATATAGGGGGGCAGCCGCTACGTAGGGAGCCCAGGTTTGCGCTCAAAGCGTGCTCCAGGCCGAAATGCTTGGGGTAGAGATCGCCGCTGCCAGCAATATCTCCCTGCTCCATGCTTCTGAGCAAGACCCACTTTCCTCAAGCTTCCTGTGTGCCCCGGCGACTTCTTTGCCTGAGCAAGGTCCTAGGTGTAAGGTCCCACTGCTAGGCGTTGACACCCCTACCGCCGCGAAGGCTGCTTTGGACTTGCCCTCGCCGCCTACACTCCCCATAAGATTCTGGGCGCACCTGAGAAAGAGCTTGGGCCTGCGCGAAAATTGCGGGCGCGCAGGTTGACTGCTCAGAGGCCACGCTCCGCTGCGGGCTGGCCGGAGGGCGTGGGTCTGTGGGCCCCCTGTCGACATCGATAGGATGAGATCTTGGAGACAGCCGTCTCCGCAAGTGGAATTCTTTCTCAGAATGAACAACCGTGTCTCTCTTCTTTTCCTTTCGCCGCCTTGTGCGACTTTCTCCACTGCTAGATTCGCTAGATGGCCTCCGGAGCTGGTTGCCCCTAGGGGTTTTTCCCCGCTTGAACCACAAACGCGGCAAGGCACCCTTCTTGCCTTGCGAGCCTTGGCCATTACCCTCAAGTGCGTGCTCTACTGCGTCGTGGCAGTTCTAGAGCAGCCTCGCTCTTCCATGCCCTTGCCGAATGGGTCGCCCTGCGTTCCATGATGCACGTGGGGGAAACCTGGTTGGGCTTCGTCGTGTGTTTTCGGGTCCCCCTCCAGAAACAATTCAGATTCCTGGCCACCTGGATAAATCTGAGTGAGCTGCGCCGTCCTTCCGCATGTTCTGGCAAGCACCTGCCTGTGCGTGGGCGCCTCGCTGAAGCCTCAGCAACCTACACTCCTGGCTTGTGCTATGCCCTCTGTGACATCTTCTCCAAAGTCCTCTGCTCCTCACTTGCAGCTGTTCGTGAGGCGGACGTTGACGTCGCCGGTTTGGAATGTGTCTCTGTCTCCTCCCTTGCCCTCAGCCTGCCTTGGACTCTTGATCGTGCATGGACTTGGCTGAACCCTGTTCATATCAACATTCTCGAGTCTTCTGCTGTGTGCCGCCTGTGCCTACAGGTTGCCGCCTCGAATGGTAAGTGTGGCTTTTGCCACCTTTGCAATTTCCATGTCGCACTGTCTGCCCTTAGCAAAGGCCGTTCCTCTAGTGGACTCCGGTATGTGTGCCGCAGGTCTGCCTGCATCTGCCTCGCGGCGGGCTTGCGCCCTGGCAGCCTCTTCTGCCCACTCGCCTGATGCCTGCCAACCACCCTACTCGTGATGCTCCCTTCTTTGAGGCCGTTGAGAGCATTCTCTCCGAGTTCTGGACTGAAGAGCGGATCATCCAGGATGCAAAGAGACCGAGGCTCAGAGACGCTGGGCCGCAAATTGGGTCCGCCTAACCTTTGCCCGATTCCCCTGCAAGCCCTTCCGGTCTTTTGTCCTCTCGCGTCCTCTCGGCTGTCCTGGTAAAGGCCCTGGCTTCCCAACTTTCATGGCTTAGGCTTTTGGTTTTGCTAGTGCTGACCAAAATGACGCGGCTAGGGCTCTGAGGCGAGCTACGGTCCCGTTGCAGGCTGGGAGGCCGGTGCAGCAACTTACGCGGGCCAGGCGTGAAAAGCTGAAAGAGGCTTTTTCCGGGTGGCTACTTGGAGTAGGGCGTTCCTACGACACCTTGCTCAGGGCTGCGAAAGCTGACGCTGACCTTGCCAACGAGGTCCTCGTCGAGTTTGGCAGGTGCCTTTATATGAAAATGGGAAGCCATATTCCCATTACTCTGAGACGGTCAACTTG